AAAGCCGAAGAGCCAGCGCTGTCCGAAGACCTTTCCGTGGTCATGTGGCCGGCATGACTAAACACCAAGGCGCACGGAGCGCTGTTCCCTTCCCACCAAAGTGGTACCTATTTATCTACTTGCAATTTCTTGCTTTCGAACTTCTAGGCTGGCAGGAGCTGGAACTAGAGACGGGAGCTCACTCTGTCATGCGGCGCACTCGGGTCTCGAACTGCTGACCTTCCACAACCTGCAGTTCAGCGTCTTAACCACTTGAGCCACCGCAGCTCCTACACTGATGCATACGGCTTTGCAAATTAACCAAAAGTCAATGTGATGAGGACCGAGCATACGCCTTGAAAAGAGAATACCGACAGCAGATGAGAATTGATTGACAGGAGGGGAGAAGAAGCCAGTTCAAGCTCTGAGAGCTTCCTGAATTGGGGAGGGGGGGGGGATGGCCTTGCCAAGTTGTCAGGCCCCATGCTCAAACCTTCACCACTCACAGGTTCCAAATACCATAATTCGCCCCTCCTCCAGGTGCAAGGCAGGTGAGTCTGAGAGGGTGACTGGACCAAAGACATCCAGTGCACTTCCAGGGCAGAGTGGGGATTCAGATCCCAAGCCAACACTAGTCTGAAAGCTGGGAAACGCCACGTAAGCAACAAACATCATTAGGCAGTGCTGCGAGTGGACACGAAGAAGAGGAAGAAGAGACTGGATTCATATCCCGCCCTTCACTACCCGAAGGAGTCTCAGAGTGGCTTACAATCTCCTTTCCCTCCCCCTCCCCCACAACAGACACCCTGTGAGGTAGGTGGGGCTGAGATAGCCCTCTTGAGAACTGCTCCTGAGAGAACAGCTCTGAGGGAACTTGTGACTGACCCAGGGTCACCCCAGCAGCCGCATGTGGAGGAGTGGGGCAAACCCGGTTCTCCGCCCACGCTCCTAACCACTACACCAAACTGGCTCAGATGTGAACTGATCAGATGTGGGCTAGCAAGGCTTTAGAGATGCTACAACTCCAGGCTGTCCCTAGCCTGCTCACCAGGCCTGGAGCTGTTTGACAGTGTGGGTTAACCAGTGCCCTAAAGCCCACTCAGCCAGCTTCTGCCAACCGGCTTCTGCCAAGGTCACCCTGGCACTCGGCAAACAGAGCTCCAATTTCACCAGCCTCACAGGAGCCCCAAATGGATGCAGAAAGACAGGCAGGCAGCCTGCGGTGGGTAACCCGAGCCAGCCTTCTGTGACTCACCTTCCCAACGGGGAATTTATTCAGGAATTCAGGGGTCTTGTTGGTTTGCCCGAAGTGGAACTGAGGCGGGGCCGAGAGGACCTTGATCTTGGCACCACTGTACTGGGCAGCGATGAGGGCTTTGAACGCCCGCCAGTTCTCAGGGTAGGTGTAGAGAGTCTGCAAAGAGAAGGAGACAGCATGAGAAGCCTGACTCAGCCACCCTGAAGCAAAGGAGAACTCGCTTCCATAAGCAGACCGTGCCCTTTCCTACCCAAGGATGAGAATGCCAAGTGAAAAAAATGTAAATGTAGGAGTCTGTCTCTTCCCCACGGCGGGTACCAGCCCCCCACCATCAGCCACTGCAACACTGCAATATTGCGGGATGTCTAGAAAGCCTCCTGCCCTAATGCTCTGTCAATCAAACAGAACCCCATCAACCTCATTCATAGACACGCCTTCCACTGAGACTCTATTATATCCACTTTCCTAGAAGACCGAGAAGCACTTGACCACACCCACCAACCCAGAGCACCCTCATGCACTCTAAGTAATGTTGCAACCCCCTACTATTTTGACTTCCCCCCCGCAATGAGGTCCAAAATCATACCAGACTAGGAATCCACCAAACCAGCTGCCTTCCTGAAGGACAGCTCCATTAAAAACTTCCAACAAACCCCACCATACCTCTGGGTTATCAAGAGGAACAAGTTCTTTCCAACGCATCCATTTAAACGCTGCCAAGCCTACCACATCCCCAGACCTGAAGTCTTACCTAATGCAACACTCTGGTCTTCAACAGCTGCTAGCCACACCTCTAGACTTCCAAATACAAAGCATGAACGCCAAAGTCACGCCCCTGTTCGTACCCACCTGATCTACAGAGGTAGATTGCCTCTGCACACAGATGCTCTGCTCGACAGTTCAGTACCACCCCAAGCAGTGCCAGCACCAGGAAAGGGACTTTCCTTAAAAAAGCTCTGCTTAAACTCCCAGTGAATGAGGACCCTAAGCCTACAAACCTGTTAGAACACAGAGGGTCCATTGTGACCCCCTAAAGCATCCCATGGGTCCCCGAGTATAGCAGTTTCCCCCGGAGAGCTGGAAGATCAACAATTCCCCCTCCCCAGACATACACCCACCACCACGCTAGTGTAATTTCACCCAAATACCAGGGAAGAGAACCGGTAACTCAATATTCCCACCTGGGCCCTCGGCCACCCCGCCTACCCGCAGTCCAAGCGCCTTCCTCCGCTAAAATCTACTCTAAACGAAAGGCCGGAGCCCTCTTCTCAAGATGACCTACTCCCAGAGCCCAGCCACCGCCCCTGAGACCCGATGGAAACGGATTGCCAACGGTTCTCAGTGGGAAACGCAAGCTCACCCCGGCCGCCGCCATCTTAGCGAGGAGAGGAAAAGGAGGAGCGTCGCGAGAGGCTGCCGTAAAGCGAGCTGCGGCACAACTGGACGGGCTGACACGACATTCCTGGAGGGCCCCGCCCCCCTCTCCCTCTTCTGGGACGTCACTGGGGAGGCGGAGCCCTGCTGTCGAAGAAAATGGTTGGGCGGGTGCGTAACAGGGACAATGGCAACTGTACGCGCCCCTTTAAAGGGGGTGATCCTTACAGCGGAGGCAAGAAGGAAATTGCTGCGTATACCTTAGGGAGTAAGCCTGAACGGGTTTACTAGGAAGCGTGTGGTATTTTAGCAGGTTTACTTGCAGGAAAGCCTAATTAGGCTTGCGGCTCGGGCTGCCAACCTCCAGGAGGGGCCTTGAGATCTCCAAGAATTCCTGTTGATGTCCAGACTACTACAGATATGTTCCCCGGCAGAAAATAGCTAAATTGGAAGGCGGCGGACTCGTATGGAATTGTACTCTGTTGAGGTCCCTCCCCAAACAACCCCACCCTCCATCTCCACAGGTTTAAAAATTTCCCATCTCACAGCTGGCAATTGTACCCACAGCTCTAGTTTGCTGAAGTGGACTCTGAAGTCCCAGCCACAGCACGTGTAGGCAGATAAAAGCTCACTGCATTCAGTGAGACTTACACTCAGGTAAGCAAAAATAAAGGAGTCCAGTGACTGGCACATGAAAGGAAACAGTCCAGCATACACATTCATGAGTCAGCATTCACTTCATCAGATGCATGGGAATGGAAATAACAGTGAGGTTGATTTATTTTATAATTTGTTATTTAACAAAAGAACATAAAAGAAGCCACGTTGGATCAGGCCAATGGCCCGTCCAATCCAAAACACTGCTCACACAGTGGCCAAAAACCTGGTGCCATCAGGAGGGCCACCAGCAGGGCCACAACTCCAGAAGCCCTCCCACTCTCCCTTCCCCAAGCACCAAGAATACAGAACATCACTGCCCCAAACAGAGTGTTCCATCTATACTTTGAGCTAACAGCCACTGATGGATCTCTGCTCCGTACTCATACTCTGCCTTTCTCACTCTGTAGATGGATTACAACAGTGTAAATGCGTAATAAGCAATGTAATAGTGTTAGGACCACAGAAATCTAATAAACACAAGTATTAGTGTTATGTATTGGGACCAAACCATTCCAGGTATGACACACCAGAGACTGGCTGAGCTTGTAGCATAAGAACAATAGCCTACCAGGACTCTGGAAGTAACCAATCAAGTAGTAATCTTATGTAAATAGCCTATCATTGGGAGTGGGGTGTGTTTGGGTGTGGCAACTGCATGCTATTTAACAGAGCTGAGGCTCTAGGGTCCTGTTTTGTTCTTGCTGAAATCATTAATAAAGTAGAGCTGATCACTAACTTGTGGTCTGTTCATCCATGGAACCCACTATTTAACAATTAGCATGAAATACACAATGCAGAAGTTACCTTAAGTAGGAGCATACCTTACAAGCCAACAGGCAATTTGTTGTTGTTCAGTCGCACAG